TCGACAGCTTTGTCAAATTGGCACAACTATTTTATTATCTCTTTCTCATTAGATGTTACAATGTTTCATACTTCATAGCAACAACACCTAATAGGAATCAGTGATATATAGTGTTCTAAAAGAATACTTCACAGATTATCTAGATTTATTCAATTCCTAGAAGCATAATCTTCCATCTTGAATAGATTTTCTTCAATTTCCATTCTGAAAAATTCAGTTTTATCAGATATTAGTAAACAGTTATCGTCATTGTGTACATGAATTTTTATATGGCATCGATGAAGCCTTACTTTCTCTAATTTGCTTTCAGTTATCAGTATCAAATAAAAACGTTTAGAATGTAACAGAACGTTAGAATCTGATTGTTGATGAATCTTTCTCTTTCATAATATAGAATATTCACTGACATCAAAGGAAATTCAATACATCTATATTCATGAGAAAATTGTTGTTTGGTCAATGTCTTTCAAATATGAAAGATGTGACAGGAAGCTTCATACTAAATGAATAAGAGAAAATCATGATCAATAAATAACGGCCAAAGCTTTCAACAGGCATGAAGAACCTGCGGATAGACGCTACTGTAAATCCGAATCCTTAAGAGTAAGTTTCTGAGAGACTCAAACATCGATGATGGTGTGACATCTCAGAATTAGCTGATTTTTTGATATGTTATAGAGGGTAGTGAGTTTAGTATTTCCTAAAATTTTCAGCTCTATCCGACGAGTTTTGATATCGAAATGACTCAAAAAACTAACTAGATTTTTATAGTACTTTTTCTCATTTCTTGTTCTTTTTCTGATCTTTCGGGTTACCGGAAGTTCGCCAATTCGGACTTTCACCAATAGGACATTCGCCAATGGCGAAAGTACAGGGATGTGTTGGCGAAGGTACGGTGGACTTTCGCCAATTGACGAAATTCCAAGGTATGTATTGGCGAAAGTACAGCGGACGTTCGCCAATTGACGAAAGTATAGTGGAGTTTTATCAGCCGTCACAAAATAATATTAATACAGGATACATGTAAGGACTAAAGCTAATACTGTTAGAATATATACTATAGCTTACTCTTATGAAAACGAAATGAACATGTAGTGAAAAAATCAAAGAAGAAGAACCGCCCTTAACAACAAACCATATACATTGTTCCTTCTTTTCATTGGGTGGCGGCTTATAAGCGAAATGTGAATAACCCTCATTCTGAGATGTCACACCATCGTCAGTATCCTATAGTGACTGATTTTCTCAGAAACTTACTCTTAAGCAAAAAATTCACATCATTAGTGGAATCGAGCTTCAGTTTGGGTGGCGTCCTCCACCATATGGGCATTCATGCTGATACTCTTGACTGTACCTGGCATCCACTCACACCCACACTCTATAAATACGGATGTTTCTAGTGAAGAACGTTTTTCTTGAAAAATAATATGTTCTTTCTTTGTTCATTGTTTTATCGAAAAAATTAAATGGTTCCCTTTCGTATAGATTTTCATTTTGTTTTTTCTCTTCCTCCTCTTATTTTTCCTTGCATTTTTTTTGTTTTTTTTCTTTTGGTCGTGAATGTGTTTATATGCATTGGAACATTATCTGTAATTTTACTATACCATGTGCCTTAACATCTAATGCAGAGCGCTGAAGTGTTTCAATATTTAAATAAAGAACATGAAACGCGTTGGTAAATAAAAATCTGTATTTATTAATATTAAGTTTTTTGACACAAGTCACAATAAAAGCTTTTTTTATTTTAAAATTCATCTGGATCTCGACAAAAAAATCGATTGCTGAGAAGCAAACATGAGCTGCAAGCAGATTGTATTTATCTTTTTTCCAACATAGATAGATCAGTCTGTTTTTCGATATTTGAGAAAACTTTCAACGTTGTATACATGAACCTTTTGAAAAACCCTATACAGAGGCATCTACTGAAAAATTGATAATAATATATAAGCCTTCAGTCTATAGTTAGAGTGTGGTAACTATTTCTGTATTTTTTTTATCGTTCTGTACTTGTTCTCTGCAAGCTATTTTTTCTCATTCTCGTCCTTATCAGAAACTCTGTCTCTCTCTCTTTATTCATTCCTGATTTTTCTTCCAATAAATGAATAAATCTCAAATATTTAGATATGATAAAGTGGCAAACAGAGTCTCATATTTCTCTTTGCTTCTATAGAAAAAAACATTACTACTCAATAAAAAAAGGTATGAAGGCTGTTCGTGTAGGTTTAATGTTTGCAACACTATTAATCTTTTTTTTCTCAATGAGTCTTGTTCAATCTTCTACGATTCTTGATGTATCTGTTATAAAGTCGTGGCTTCAAACTGACATGAAAAAAGGTGAGGATATTACATGTAGGATACCTGGGACCTGGATTCGAGTATTCCGTAACCGGATTCGCCCACAAGTGAAACCAAAGACTAAATTCTACGGACCAAGATAGAACTCAACGAGCTCTATCAAATGCTCTATTTACTTTTCCCTCAATACCGTTCCAACCTGGAGAAAAACCCAAAATACTATGAAAAAAACAACAAAAAATCTAATTTTTTTCGTGCGATGCACCGCGATTCGCTTCCAGTTGGGACCAAACTCTTAAAACTATATGTATCAATAGAATCTGACGAGCTCTATCAAATGGATACCTTTTCGAATATATAAGGTAATTGCATCGCTCCATAAAACCTCAATATCTTCATAAAATCCGGTTTTCATGGCAAACCCCGTACGGCATTCGCTCTCAACTGAGACCAAAAACTGAAAATATCACCAGTGCATAGAACTCGACGAGTTCTATCCAATGAACACATTGCAATCTATTTTCAATACTTTCTTACCACATAAAACCCAGATGGTAGGTTATCATTTGCCCCAAATTGGTTACCACAATCAATCCCCAAATCAAAATCCCCAAATGGGGATTTTGATTTGGGGATTTTTTAAATTAGGGATTTTTTTTAACATGAATATATCATACATTCTGTAGTTCAATACCATTCTTTTTCTCTTCCAAGACCGTATTACCAAAACTAAGACTTTTGAAGTCATATCTGTTGGAGGCGTTTAGTTTGGATTAGCTAAACATAATAAAAATAGTTTTTCCATGAATCTGGTGACCAGAATGTATTTTGGGGTACTACAACGAACAGTTTTGAGGTGAATCTGGTGATCAGAAAATATTTTGGGTTGCCAAAAAGAGAACTTTGTAGTAAACCAAGATACATTCTGGTCATCAGATTCACCTCAAAATTGCTCGTTGTAGTACCCCAAAATACATTCTGGTCACCAGATTTATGGGAAAACTATTTTTATTTTGTTTAGCTAATCCAAACTAAACATCTCCAACACATATGACTTCAAAAGTTTTAGTTTTGGTAATACGGTCTTGGAAGAGAAAAAGAATGGTATTGAACTACAGAATGTATGATATAGTCATGTTAAAAAAAAATCCCTAAATTAAAAAATCCCCAAATCAAAATCCCCATTTGGGGATTTTGATTTAGGGATTGATTGTGGTAACCAATTTGGGGCAAATGATAGACATTCAACCCAGATATACCATGAAATCCCGGTTTTTGAGGGAAAGTTGACTTGGATTCGCTCCCAGCTGGGAACAAAAGCTAAAAATGTTACCGGTAGATAGAATTCGACGAGCTCTATCCGATGAACACCTTTCAATCTGTTTTCAGTACTATTCCACTTATAAAACTCCAATATATCATGGAATCCCAGTTTTTGAGGAAAAGTCGACCTGGATCCGCTCCCAGTTGGGACCAAAAGCTCAAAATGACTCAGATCGATAGAACTGGACGTGCTGTATTCGACTAATACCTTTTTTGATAGTTTAGGTACCTCGCTTCCCCTAGAATCTCAATATACCGGGAAAACTTGGTTTTTTACGAAAACCTGACCCAGATTTACTTCTAGCTAGGACCAAAAGTTGAATATAGCATCGATAGATACAACTCGACGAGCTCTATCGAATGGATACCTTTGGGTGTGTGTGGATGTGGGGTGGGTGCGGGTATGGGGCAGCGGTGTGGGTGCGTAGTGTGGGTAGATGGGTGTGTGTGGGTGTGGGTGTGAGTGTTGGTGTGGGATGTTGGTGTAGCTATTTTCTTGACCCACACCCACCCGAATCGCGAAGAAAGTGATATATTTTGCGGCGAAACAGATCAGTGGAGAAGGAAGTTGGTCTGTCTTGATAACCCAATAGTTAGGATAGAAGTTGCTGAAGTCGAAGGTATTGGATTCGACTACCCTTCGAGGTTGAGTTTTTTCCTTGCTTTCTAACAGTGTGTTCACACATTGTCTTAGAGGCTAGAAAAGCTTAATGGAAGGCTTTTCCTTCTCGAAAAACGAAAAAAACTTGGTTCGAATTCGAAATCACTAAAAAAAAGCATTCACATGCGTTTATAGTGTTCTTGCAGTTACTGTAGCGCTTTAAAAGGTAGTTGAAACAATTAACCGATCTGTCACTAAAAATAAATAATGTACAGCAAAAAACAACGATTGTATCACATTTCATACGTTCTTTATCTGTTTAGCAACTCTTAGTAAATCAAGGAAACTACGCAATATTCCAAGTTGCGCTACATGGAGTAAAAATGGAACAATCGTTGCTGGCTCAAGTAATGGCGCAGCAGGAAATGATTCAACGGCATTGAATACACCAGGACCTTTCGATATCGATGTAGACGGGACCCTTTATATAGTTGATAACGGAAATAACCGCATTATGCAGTGGAAAAATGGGGCAATGAGCGGAGCACAAATCGGCGGATTTATCAATCAACCTCGAGAGATTTTCGTCAGTTCAACTGGAAACATATATCTAACGGATTTAAAACCAAATTTCAACGACTTTGATGAAATGTATAAATATGATTCAATTACCAATAGTTGGGTAACAATCATTAGAAAATTGTTTGGCCGTCCCATTGGTTTCTATGTAGATGAAGATCGAGCGCTAGTTTATGTGGCTGACTACAGAAATAATATAATAATGTCATACGATTTAAATGGAGCTGCATTAGGTCCAGTAGCAGGAGTTGAGTCTGCAGATGGTAACGATTCATACCATCTTGTCGATCCTTCTGACGTTTTTGTTGATGAATTTAGCAATTATCTTTACGTAGCTGACTCAGTTAATAATCGTATACAACGATTTAAAATTGGAGAGAAGACAGGTGTTACTGTAGCAGGTGTTGAAATTGGATGTGAAGTCAACATCCCAGTTGACGTAGTTATAACGTCTAATGGTGATATATATGCACTGGAACTATTTAAAAACCGAATCATGAAAGTGACAAATAATTTCACGCCAAAATGTGTTTGCATCCTTGGATGTCCAGATTCACAGTCATTCTATAGTCCTGATAGTTTTCAATTTGATACAAATGGTAATCTTTATGTTATAGATTCCCAGCAACACACAGTATTGAAGTTTAACATTTCTTTGGACAACTGTGGTATGTAGGTTTCTATCGATATAATACTGCATCAACATATAGAGAGTGTCGGCTTTTGATATAAAGTTTTTCACTGTATTATCTTCAGAGAACATACTGATTAATTTTCAAAAGTCCAAATACTTGAATATCTAAGAGACAGTCTGCAAATACACATCGAGATGCGTATTGGATGCCAATGAGCCATAAACTGATGAGCTATATAATACATCACTGTATGCCTAGTAGTAAGATAATGTTATTTAGTTCTACAGGGTGTGACTGTATGGACGTAAGAGAATAAGAGACATTCATACCTACACCCTGAAGATAGCCATTATCAAAAAAAAAGTAATTGTACTTCTTTATTTCGAGTGACTGTTTCTGTCTGAGTGAAGTAGAAGCCAGCGCGCCGAACCCTGCTGCCGAAGCATTATTGTTTTAGTCTCACATGAAAAAGACCAATCTATACCAATGAAATAAACTACGATATGTATGGTTGTCCGTGTGTTCCGGATCGGTGGTTAAAGGTGGATAATGTCCTGAGGAAGTCACGCAATAAAGGGAAAGGCAATAGTAACTACAAGCAGTAGTATGTCATAAAGGTACACGAACTATAACAGTACCGGCAATATAGAAATATCATGTTGTTTTAGGGCTGTTTATGTTCATAATACTGAGTCTATATGCCTGTCAACGAAAGTAAAAGGCTAAAGGTTTGATATCATATTTTAAAGAAAAAACTACTGTGCATTGTCCATAGATTTTTGCTGGTTCTGAATATTCTAGTAAAAAAGTCGTGGCAGCAAATAAAATTTGCTTGAAAAATCTCTTGAATATCAGTTTTCTCAAAAATGCCTTGAACTTTAAAAAGCACGAAACGATTTCCAACTGAAAACAGTCCATAGACTATTCAGTAGTGAATAGAATAAAATCCTGAGCAATCTCCTACAAAACTCAAATGAATAATTATTAGTTCTTTCCAAGGGATAAGAAGTTTCAAAAAAATTCAACAACTAACTTTACTTCTGTCTGTCTTTTACCCAGAACTTTCTTCTGAGACATTGTAGAAGAGTCGTCGCAGTACAACTTTGTTCAGAAGTAATTGAATAACACTTGTGTAAATTGAAAGAAGTCTCCTGGTTTCAAAACCCTAGAAGTTTCTCAGAAATCATTTCAATTAGATGCCATTTATCGCATAATTTTTATGATCGTATTGAACTTGCTTGCCACTTTCATTGAAATCAATGTTCTGCGACGTATCTTCTAACAATACGAAACTTCAAAGCATAAGTCTTTTCTACTGCAAAAATCCTTTTTCATTGAAAGAACCTTCTGAGTATAAAATTTGTTGAAAAAAAAATATTTTAATTTTTCGTGATAAAATTGAGCATTCTAACTATATATATCTGCTGATGTGTATCAGCTCACGGGCAGTTAATCGATTAAATGATGGGTGATTCTGTATCGATTCATCAAAATGCGTAACTCAATTGTCGTAGCTATTAATATGCTATAGGGGACATTATTTCGTCGTTATGATCTTCACTCATATTCTAGGTTTGAAACTTGAGCCTTCTATACAAGTAAAGCGAAATGATATGCGTCTAACGACCATTGTATTCATTGCTTTTCTGACTGCTGCAATGATAGTGATGATTACTACGAACTGGTGGAGAAAATGGTCTCAAATATCGGAATTTAATAAAATATTACAAAAGAACTTGAATTCACCTTTAAAGTTGAATCTGCAAACTGAGAGCATTGATAAACATGGTACATTAATGCATTCCTATTAGCGTCAAATAAATGGTCATTTCTGAAAGTGGATAAATTCAATTCAATTCCGTCTCAGTTTAAAAATTGTATTCGCAAGAGAAATAAGCTTTCAAAACCAACTAGCAAAATGTCTTTTCAGAAAGGTTCGGGTTTTATATTTTATTTTTTGTAAACTTGAAATGAATTCGAATGAAGTTTTCTTAATGGAAGACCATCATGAATAACTAGAAATGATGAGATCTTGGTTTGGCATCATTGCGATTTTATCCTGGCAAGAGCGTATGTTTTATTCTGTTAGTGATTCAGAGCAAAGTCAATGGTGGAATACATCTGGCGGGTGTGGGTGTGGGTGAGTATGATGGGTGGCGTTTGGGTGTGGGTGAGTGTTGTGGGTAGAGGTGTAAGCCGTGCGGCTGAGCCGCCGTCGCCGCCGACAGACTCAAAAAATTTTAAGCCGCCGCCGCCGTGACAGTAGCAATTTTGGAAATTTTTAAGCCGTCGCCGCTGAGACACTTTAATTGCAGCCGCCGCGTCACCGATGGTATTCAAAATTTTAAAATTTTCGAGCCGCCGCCGCCGCTGGCAATTAGCATAAATAAACGTTTTATTTATATTTTCTTTAATTCGGTACTTTGACATCTTAGAATCCCAATAAATCTCTTCTTCATTATCTTCCTCGTCTTCAACTTCACTTTCGTGCTGGTTCTTTGACCAGTCAGGTGCTTGGGGTTCTAAATTGTAAACAAACCCTTAATTCTGTGTTGGTTGAAAATTCTAAGTTATCATTTCAGTTGTTTATGTCTTTATATTAGATATATTAATAAATACAAGAAGAGACGAGCATTTTAAATTTTGATTAACAAAAACAAAATAAAAACAACAAACTTGAATACGCTAAGTGCCTTTACTTATTAACAATCGTGGTGGTGATTTTTCATTTATTATTTACCCTAGCAATTATATTTATTTTTAATTTTAGACTTTTTTTTTTTATTATGTCTAGATGTGAATTAAAGTTTTTCCACATATGTATTTGAAGATAAAAAGGCCGAGATATTGAAATAGGCCTTGTCTACACTAAAAATTTTGATGGTAAATTAAGAAACATGATTGGTTAAACAGTTAATAAACATTTAAAACACTTTTATAAAGTGCATTAAATTTATTGCACTATTCAGAACCACATTAAAGTTGATGCACCAATCAAAGTCTGATTGGATTTTTCAATGAGCGATTCCTCTATGATTGAAGTGAACAAAAACTACGATTCATTTCAAAGTCAAGGATTCTGATTGATGCATTAACTGACAAATGTAGACACGAATTGATTTAATACGAATTGAATACTGCATTATCCTCCTCGTGTAGACAAGGTTATAGACTAATTTATTTATGATAACGTAGTACTTTTTAAACTTCAAGCCGCCGCCGCTGAGACACTTTAATTACAGCCGCCGCGCCGCCGATGGTATTCGAAATTTTACAATTTTCGAGCCGCCGCCGCTGTGCAATCTTGAAATATCAAATCTGCGCCGCCGAGCATTTTAAAAAAATTTTAAAAAACTGGCGCCGCCGCCGATCAGCCTATCGGCTTACACCTCTAGTTGTGGGTATGGTGGGTGGAGTGTGGCGTATGGGTGTGGGTGAGTGTGATGGGTGGGGTTTAGGTATGGGTGGGTGTGGATGTAGGTGTGATATGTGGGTGGATGTGGGTGTGGGGGTTGGTGTGGGGTGGGGTATGGGTGTGGCTGTGGGTGTGGGGTGTGGGTGCGGGTAGG